TCCAGTTCTTCTTAAACACAATATACAATAATTGTCAAGAATCACTTCTTTTGTTTCTCTATGCAGGCTTCTGCAAACGATTTCCTCATTTTCTTTATATACATGTGGTTGAATACATTATATTAAAACGATTTCTTAATATCAAACCTGGCCCGGCATGCCCAGGTGGTTAAGGCGCTCGACTCGCAATCTGAGGGTCGCGGGTTCGAATCCCCGTCACACCAAACATGCTCGCCCTTTCAGCCATGAGGGTGTTATAATGTTACGGTCAATCCCACTATTCGTTGGTAAAAGAGTAGCCCAAGATGACTAACTGCCTTCCCTCTAGTCTTACACTGCTAAATTAGAGACGGCTATCGCAGATAGCTCTCGTGTAGCTTTGCTCGACATTCAAAAAACAAACAAACAATGATATTAAACCAGTAAATCACGTGACAATCACAGCCATTATGAAGTCGCAGAGGAACAGTATGTACAAAACTACATTTTGACATTGTTTGGTGTTACGTACGAAGTTTTGTTGTTGTTTTTATTTTTTAAACGTAAAAGTGTACAGTGGGATATCTGCGCTCTTCCAAAGTGGAGAATTGAACCCTGAATTTTAGCATTTTAAGTCCATAAACTTACTGCTGACCGACCGGGGGACCGTTACGTAGGTGGTGTGTTGCCACCAAAAATTTAAACGTTTAAACGGGTGTGTAAGAATCCTTTTTGACGGAAATTACTTACACACTCAGATCATAAAGATGTGTTCGGAACAGTTATTTAGAATTTCCAAGACAGGCATATTCCTTATATTTAATGGCATAGGAAAACTAAGAGATACCAGGATCATCCAGAAATGAATGTTCAAGTAGTCGTAACCTAGCCGTGATAAGTAAGTGCAGTATATTTAACAAGTGAATATCTATGAGCACAAAGTTCAATGGTAAAAGCCATCCACTGCCTCAGGCAACAGTACACAACATAATCAAGAATGACATCTGTCTGGTAAAGCGACACAAGTCATGTCTATACAAGTGTACACAAGTTACGTCCATGACGTATCAGCTCAACCCTTGCATACCTCAAGCAGCTGAAGAACGAAACGGGTATTCATGCTATTCCATACGAAAACATACCGGTTTAATTAGCCAGTCGCAGCTCCTATGGATTTCTATGTGCTGGGAAACCTTCAACCTCGTACAGTAGATGGATTATGGAAAAGATGCACAGAGAAAAGACGTGTTTTTGGCATGAAAACCTCACTACTAAGCCTTTTGAATGGAAACTATACTGCATGGTTATTGTCAAATTGCTTGGTCGTCAGATACAGCGTGACCGAACGTGGCTACATAGACTGTAACTACGTGATGAGGCTTTGAATATAACGTACTCAATCTCCGTATATAGAAGTTCGTTTGATTAAGCAAAATGATGAAGTTTTGTCATGTGGTTTCTTTTCGTCACTCTGTGTTACTGATACAATTCTTATAAATACATAATAAACCCCAAACAATAAAGAAACTCGTTTAAATAAAGTCAGTTTAGTTTTCAGAAATTATCAAAGCTTACCAGTGCTTTTATAAGTTCGCAAACAGATAATCAGACGCTTCAAAATGCACTACAGGGACTAAGCACATTGCTCTGATTCTGTGTGTACTCGTTCCTTTCGAAGCTATAGAGAAGAATAAGTCAAATTCAAACGTATGTGTCACCTTATCCAAACTTAAACTTAAAACACTTGCTAAACTAGTGCTTATATGTTTCGTAATTAAGGTATACTCTATGTTTTCATTAAAGTTACTTGCATTAACCGACCTTTTATGTTACTGGACTGTTTAACCCAACAGTGACTTTCATAACATTATGACGCAATTGAATATGTAGTTGAGTTTATTACAATAAGAGATTATATTAATTTTAATATTTAACATAAAATAGGAAAAGTTAAGCAAATAAAGTTATTTAATTAATCAAGACTCGAAACGTAGCACGTGTATCTAAATTACAAACATAATACGAGGGTTAACATTATTGGTTATAATCTTTAATTTATGTATCAGTTTATATTTTTTATTGTAATATTATATATTTGTCATGAAGATTGTTCTGCATGATCACCTTAGTACCTAGATTTAGGGCTAACCTAAATCTCTTAAGTTTGCACATCCTCGGAGGATATTATTTTGATTACCGCCCAAAATCTCGATAACAGCAGGAGTATCCAACTGACGAAAGAGTGCATTATAATATTCATATATGAAAACGTAAGAATGGTATATTTGATTAGCTATGCTCATTAATGAGCTAAGTTTTAGTTCTGGTTTTTATTAGTAGCTTCCTTTGATCATAAGTTCATATTAATTAATTAAATTTGTCAAATGTTATACTTTTCTACGCTAAATAGGTCATCTACATCGAGGCGAGCTTTATTTTTGAGCAAACGCAGCAAGAAGTAACGGAAAACTTGATAGGACACTTTTTATTTAGATAAATTTGAATTCAAACTTTAAGTCCACAATTATTTAAACAAGAAATTTTCATTTAATCTCAAATCTGAGCTTTTAAACATGTAGAACATTGTGTGACATGAACAGTACTTACATAGTCTGTTAGGTAAGACGACACATGAATATTTCGAAATTAGTTTCTCAGTCTTTGTCTGATCTTATGCTCCAAAAGTGTTTTTTGTTGTTGTTAATGTAGAACGTTCATACAGAGAGGTAGAGTTCTACTTTCTAATTCAAATTATGTTCTACATTGTATCTAACAGATTTAGTTTCAGCGTTAAATTACCTTTCATAAATGTCCTTCAGACATCAGGAAGTATGCGTGTTTTGTGTGTGTGTGTGTGATTGTACATCACTGCTAACGTTGGCAAACAAATGAAACATAATCTTTACGTTAATACTTTCTTATGATTCATTGACTAGCATCGAGTAATACTTTATCAAATTAATTTCTCAAATATCACGATTATGCAAACAGAAGACGACACTGAATGATGGGGTGGGCGTTATGGGTTGGATGTACCTCTTCCTGCATTAGCAGTCAAAAAGGCGGATGATGTCGTTATGGGAACTGGGGTGAACTCATATTCAATTGTTCATAGTGATGGTATATGGGCAGTATAGATTTAGCAACAATTGTAATTCTGCGTACTTCTAAGAATACATTTAATTATACTTAAGAACTGAAAATACTGGATTTTTGATGACACTTGCACAGTTAAACTTAATTAAATACTTCTTGCAAGAAGTTACTTACAGTAATTACATATATATTTCAATTAAGCAGCTAGTGAAATTTCCAGAAATAGAGCCTTGAAAGCGATACCAACTCATTACGTTTTTATTGTTATATTATTATGTGTTTCCCATGAAAGATTATGCACGAGTTGAATTGGAATACTCTCGTTTTCACACAACTGGCTCTGGGCCATTATACATATATATACTTGTATTGAGAATAAACAAATGTAGGCAAACCTGTCTAACAAGTAAGCACTTCGTTTCTTCAAGGTTAAACATGGGTTTGTAATAATCTATTTCGGGTTAAGTGTACCACATCCTTGAGGACCGGTACGGGTTTTCTTAAGAATGCACATTTTGAACTGACATTATCTCTATTTGTATCCTGTAACATTATACACCAAACTCTTGTACATCAATTTTCAAAAAGTATTGTTGCCGTCAGTATTTGTTTTTCCTTATTTAACGGTATATAATTATTCAACTAAACACTATATATTACCTGATGAAACAGGCCTGCGATGGTTTTTGTCTTGAAATATTTACATGTTCTACAGTAATTCCTGTACGCTTAATCCGAATATATCAATTTTTTTCCATAACGTACAGATTTTTTCACAATACG